TCACTGCTTAAGACCGGTGTATCTAATCCACAGCCTCCAAGCCATTTTTTCCCCTGCCCCACCCCAAGGCTAACTGGTTCTGGCAGCAGCAAATAAAGTAAGTACAGGCAGTGACTTTTTAAGGAGAGTCTGATACGTGCACGACTGCACACATGTGCATTGCGCCAAACTGAGAAATGACCAAATAAATAAAAAATATCACAGAGGTGTTACAGGCTGTTTGCAGGCTTTTTCAATGAGTGTTCCAATTATACATGATTTCATGCAAGCCTGTGGTCCCTCAGAACGTAACCCCAAAGCAGTTGCTGCCTGTAGATACACATTTGGCTGAGGAAAGAAGTTTAAATCTCTCCATCCAGTCAAACACTCTGTGGAGGGTTTGTTTGCTTGGTCTTTTTTTTTTTTTTTTTTTTTGCAAATCACCCCCTTCCTGGACTTTCAATTGATCATTTGATGATCAATGAAGAGGTGATAACCCCCTTCATCAATTGGTCCACACAGATCACATGGGGCAGGGGGCTGTGTGCCTTTATGTAAGAGAGAGCGGAGGGGTGACCACACCCAACATTGGTATGCAGCCCTCAAAGAATTGGACCAGGTTAGACATTCCTGGCTCAAGGGTAGAGAGCTAATTCGACAGTGTCTGAATATAAAAAAGTTGGACCATTAAAAAACCAAGTGGAAGGCGACCCTACTGCGAATCAAAGAATTGGGCCCTCCCTCCAAGCCAAGCCAGAAGGAAAGCACAACTAAACAGAACACCCCTCCTCCTAATCTTGAACTCAGTAAGTTAGTGCCAATAGAATTGTAGCCAAAATGGAGCCAACGAGAAACAAGAATGAGGAACCCAGTGAAGGCTGGTTATGCTCAATTGCCCCAGAGTTTTGAGTAACTTGGAAGGGGTGTGGAAATGGAACGGACTGTACTGGAACTGAACAGAGCTTCCCAGTTGGGAAACTGGAAAGGAGCTTTCTGCACTGCTTAATGTTGGTCTTTGCGTTGACAGCAGTGGCCGGACGGTGTCTTATTGGTGGGATTTGCTTGTTTCTTTCATGAAAATTGGGGTGCGGGTGGCGCTGTGGTCTAAACCACAGAGCCTAGGGCTTGCCGATCGGAAGGTCGGTGGTTCGGTTCCCAGCTCCTGCCCACCTAGCAGTTCGAAAGCATGTCAAAGTGCAAGTAGATAAATAGATACTGCTCCGGCAGGAAGGTAAACAGCGTTTCTGTGCGCTGCTCTGCTTCGCCAGAAGCGGCTTAGTCATGCTGGCCACATAACCCGGAAGCTGTCTGCGGACATACGCCGGCTCCCTCGGCCTATAGAGCAAGATGAATGCTCAACTCCAGAGTCGTCCGCGACTGGACCTAACGGTCAGGGGTACCTTTACCTTTACCTTTTTCATGAAGATCACTGAGCAGATTCCACAGTGTAAGAATAATAAAAAACAACAGTGGCTAACAAGTGCAATCAAACCCCACATATTACAAACTATGATCAAAATATAGTGCTGGTTAAAACAATTCAGAACCACAAGAGAACTTTACTATGGAAACCTGTAAAAGCCGCCAGATTGGGGATTGATGGCTTCCTTTCAAAGACTGGGGGCAGAATTTGTGTGTGTGTGTGTGTTAACCCTGCCATTTTTTGCTGCTGGAGATTTTGCAAATAAGTTCTCATTCCTCGTAATAAAGACCACAAGTGCATTCTGTTATTCAAGAGCCAGATTGCTCATACATTGGCCTTCGCCAACACCTACGGTTTCATCCCATTGGCCTGCCTTCGACATCAGACAATTCCAAACGCTTTAAGAACAGCAAATAACAAGAGTGCAAAGGCGTAATACAGAGCTCAGCAACATCGTATTAGAAATCTATGGCCAATTTATTTGCCAGAAACAACGATTTGCCTGGTGAGAGACATTTGGGAGGGAGAGAATATCTGTCATACTATTTGTAAGTGAGTTGCATGCCTTCCCATTAACCGTGCAGCACAGCACACTCCAAGATATCAGAAGAACAAGTGCTTTATTTAGCAGTGGATAAAAGGGACCAGCCTGGAACAATCCCTGTGGAACACCAGGAAGTCCTGAATGCTTTTTGCCCTGCTCTCTGTCTTGCCAATGCAGTGCCCATGCACCAAGGAGTAAGGTTCTCCTCCTTAATGGGTTAGCTTGCTTTGTCCTGCATGGCTTTGCAAAGCGATGTTTTGTGGAGCAGCCGAAGCAAAAGCTTCTGAACACTTGGACAGCTCCTGGGACTGTTGGTGGAGCCCCAACCCAGTTTGTGCAGCATTTCCCTTGCGCAGCAGACATAGCAGGGGACTTCATGGCTTTTTGCACTTCGGGGGTGGGTGGGGGTGCTTCTGTTTATCCTGAGCTCTTGCATACATTTGTCTCTCTGCAGCTCTAAGTACTCACTGCTTCTTTAGCTCGGCAAATGTTGACAGCACAAGTAAGAGTCAAGTGAGGGTCTCTTAGCAACCTAGCCCTCAGTGAGTTTCTGAGTTTACTCCACAGACAACAGGATTCACATCAGTCTGCAAAACCACAAGTTTGTGTAATGGCCTTTAAATCTCTGCCACAGAGACCAATGCTTCCCCACCCAATTCCATCTAACCTCTTGTGTCTCTCATAAGTCACACTATTTTCTTTCTTTCTTTCTTTTCTTTATTTTGGAGCGGAGCAAGCCTCAAATTTGCTGGGAACAACAGACACCTTTTGCTTTTCAGCTTCATCAGTGAACTGAAAGATACTGAAAACCTCCCTGGTGTCTTCTCCAGACGCATTCAGCAAAAGGGCAGATTGGAATCTGTCCAAAGACCTGCTCCCACCTTATCCAGTTCTTGGTCACATTGCTCTGAAGCACCAGCTGCCCCAGGGACTCTGTTTGCCCCATAGTCACTGTGCTGGGGTGTCAATGGAGAGCAAGACCAACTCTGACACAATATAATATTCCTAAGTGGCATCAGATATAGAGCTTATCCACAACTCTGTTTGCCTCTATTGGAAACCCAATATTTAGCCCTGAATTGGAATAAATGGCAATTGGGTTCCTTCCCAGAGTGCTATTTGTTCCAATTCAGTGGCGTAGCGTGGGGGGTGCAGGGGGGGCCGGCCGCACCGGGCGCAACATCGGGGGGGCGCAACATCACGGGCTAGGGGGCGCAACATCACGGGTTAGGGGGCACAAATTACTTGCCTTGCCCCGGGTGCTGACAACCCACGCTACGCCATTGTTCCAATTTATCACTAAAGAGTGGGTTTTCTGGGGGAAAGTGGCAGGGCAAAGGCAAAACTGCCTAGAAAGCACAGGGACTAGAAGAAGTGTGGATGAGTTCAAAGTCAGTAAATCATGCTTTGTTATATTAAGTCCAGATATTACATGTGTTGCTCTCAGAAAAACACCCCTCTTTAGTTATTGGCTTTTAAAGAGTTGTCACAAAAGGGCTGCAAAGTGTCAGATATTGAAATTGTTGTGGAGATGTGTTTGTGTGCTTTCCGTTGTGCCGTTTGCTGCTCCACCTCACAGGGACATAGGAAGCTGCCTTAGTCTGAGCCAGCCCGTTCGTCCATCCAGCTCAGGATTGTCCCAAACTTTTCCCCTGCCTCACAGACCACTTTAAAAATGCAGAGAGTCTTAGAGGACAGCTTCTGCTTCTTTCAGCAATTGCAGCATGCCGCCCTAGTTGCTATATGACTCTTAATCACATTGATATTGCTTCGCTTATTTTTCATGTTGCCTTTTATTATATTGCAGTTTAAATTCCATACAGTGCCACAATAATAAAACACAAGCACCAAAAAGAAGCAATAACGACGAAGTTAAAAAAATAATGTGAATATTTCACGGACTGCACCTGCCATTCACAGATGCTGTACCTGATGTTCTTCAAATTCAATGGCAACTAACCACAACATTATTATTATTATTGCTCTTCTCTCCATTTGCACCAGGGATGCAGGTGGCACTGTGGGTTAAACCACAGAGCCTGGGACTCGCCAATTAGAAGGTCAGCGGTTCGAATCCCCACAACGGGGTGAGCTCCTGTTGCTCCGTCCCTGCTCCTGCCCACCTAGCAGTTTGAAAGCACGTCAAAGTGCAAGTAAATAAATAGATACCACTCTGGCGGGAAGGTAAACGGCATTTCCGTGCACTGCTCTGGTTCGCCAGAAGCGGCTTAGTCATGCTGGCCACATGACCTGGAAGCTGTACGCTGGCTCCCTCGGCCAATAAAGCGAGATGAACACTGCAACCCCCGAGTCGGCCACGACTGGACCTAATGGCCAGGGGTCCCTTTACCTTTACCTTACCATTTGCACCAGTTCACTAGTGTGGTGTAGCACTCAGGATGTCAAACTAGGGTTCAAATCCCCACTAAGCCACAATGAAGCTTGTCGTCTTCAGCGACAGCACCATCTAAACCAGGGTTTCCCAAACTCAGGTCTCCAGCTGTTTTTTTGGACTACAACTCCCATCACCCCTAGCTAGCAGGACCAGTGGTGAGGGATGATGGGAATTGTAGTCCAAAAAAACCAACAACAGAGGGAGACACAAGTTTGGGAAAGGCTGAGGCCCTCAGGGTTGTTGTTGGAGTTCAAATAACGAGGGGGAGAACCAGGCACCTTGAGCTCCTTGGAGGAAAAGGTGGGCTAGAATATAAACGCAAGAGAATGGATTTAACAATAATTAGAGCCTGTCCTACCACCCAGGCGAAGAGAGCTAATTCGCAGTGTCACGAAAAGGCCAGCAAATTGTTGGTTGCTTAATTGGTCATTGTTGTCTTCTGCGCACTTCGACGCCCTTCAGGAAGGAAGGCGCTTGTATGTCTTAAAAAATTCAACCCCCTCCCCACCTCAGGTCGTCACCAAAATAACTTGGATATATCGCCTTGGACATACATTGGGCTGCCTGTAGTGCTGGCCCTACTCCGAGTAGACCCATTGGAAGGAACGAGCCGAACTTGGCCAGGTTTCTGAATCCCAGTGCAACTTGACATGGTTGAGGCGGGGAGAGGAGGAGAAATTTACGAGTCGCCCCCCTCCCCCCCTCCCGCTGCAGCAAAGTGGTTTGGGCCAACCCCCTGACCCGAATCCCACTCCTCGGGCGGAACCACTGGAGGGAAAGGGGCTGCAACTTCGGAGCCACGGCGGCGCGCTCGCTGACCCTTGAGGGCGCCAAGAGGCTTCTCCCCTTCCCCCCTCCCTTGGAAAGTGGGCGGGGGGCGGAAGGACCCCTCCCTCCGTCTCTCTCCGCCCCCCTCAGGTATGGAGTTCCTCAGGAAGCGCCTCAGCGCCGCCGCCGCCGCTCGCCGCGGAGCCCGCGCTTTGCGCCCGAAGGAAGGCGCGCGCTGAGACCCGCGTCGTCCCCAGCGGCGGCGAGGGGACTTTCTCTGCCTTTCTCTCAGAGATGCAACCATCGCCCGGGGTCGGCTGAGGCTTCTCTCGCCAGCCCCGCTTCTGGCCGCCGCTACCGCCGCCGTTCCTCGCCGCAGCAGCAGCCGCCCCTCGGAGCCCGGAGGACCATGCTGAGGGAGGCGGGCAAGGAAAAGACGCCTCCGGGGCTCTGGCTGCCGTGGCTGCTGCTCCTCTTTCCCTCCTCCGCCGTGCACGGTGAGTGGCCAGCCCGGTTCGGGAGCAGCGGGGAAGCCGGGACACCCCTCCCCGCCTCGCCCCGTCCCATTTGGCTCAGTATTGCCCGCACTGACTGGCAGCGGCTCTCCAGGGTTTCAGGCGGGTGTGTGTGTGAACGCACTTGCAGCGGTTCTCAACCTGTGGGTCCCCAGATGTTGTTGGACTACAACTCCCACCATCCCTGAGCTCTGGCCTTGCTAGCTAGGGGTCATGGGAGTTGTAGTCCAACAACATCTGGGGACCTACAGGTTGAGAAAAGCTGCTGGAGCGGCCAGGGATTGAATCTGCATGCCAAAGGGATGCTCTAACCACTAGGCTAGGGCACTTCGTTTGCTGGGAGATGCGTTTTCCTTGCCTAAGGCATTATTTGTCCGAGGTCACTTGTTGTGGCTGGAGTCATGGGGAAGGGGGCCAGTCTAGGTTTGTTTCTGCACAGTCTGCAGCAAAGAATGTTTGTTGGGTTGGATCTGGATGTGCGGTGCAAGTGTTGTTGTTTAGTCGTTGAGTCGTGCGGACTCTTTGTGACCCCATGGACCAGAGCACGCCAGGCACTCCTGTCTTCCACTGCCTCCTGCAGTTTGGTCAATCTCATGTTCGTAGCTTCGAGAACACTGTCCAGCCATCTCGTCCTCTTTCGTCCCCTTCTCCTTGTGCCCTCCATCTTTCCCAACATCAGGGACTTTTCCAGGGAGTCTTCTCTTCTCATGAGGTGGCCAAAGTATTGGAGCCTCAGCTTCAGGATCTGTCCTTCCAGTGAGCACTCAGGGCTGACTTCCTTCAGAATGGATGTGTTTGATCTTCTTGCAGTCCATGGGACTCTCAAGAGTCTCCTCCAGCACCATAATTCAAAAGCATCAATTCTTTGGCGATCAGCCTTCTTTATGGTCCAGCTCTCACTTCCATACTTGTGGTGCAAGTGTAGCCATGCCTATTCCAAAGTAAGTACCAGTTTTCGGTCTGGAAATCAAACCTTATGAGGAGCAGTTGAGGGAGCTGGGTATGTTTAGCCTGGAGAAGAGGAGACTGAGAGGGTGGTATGAGAGCTGTATTCAGATATCTAGAGGGCCGTCACATGGAAGATGGAGCAAGCTTGTTTTCTCCTGCTCCAGAGGGTAGGACTCCAATCAATGACTTCCAAGTTACAAGAAAGGAAATTCAGGCTCGATGTCAGGAAGAACTCTCTGATGGCAGCTGTTCTACTGTTGAAGGAACTCGCTCGGAAGGTGGTGGGCTGTCCTTCCTTGAAGGTTTCAAAGCAGAGGATGAATGGCCATCCATCCGTCAGGGATTCTTTACTTGTGATTCCTGCATTGCAGGGGGTTGGTCTAGATGACCCTCAGGGGTACCATCCAACTCCACCATTCGATGGTTCTCTGAATTCTGTGGGCAAGTGGGGTTAAGATTGCAGCCTTACTCCCTATTAAATGTGCATTAGGTTTGCAGGGCAAGAAATTCTACACCAGGCTCACTTGTGAGTAAACATCTGTAGGATTGCACTTCCTGGCTGTGTTCACGCACCCTTTGACTGTGCACTCACTGCATTCCCAATGCTGGGTTTTTAATCTGCATTTGCGTGACATTATCCAGAATGCATGTGTATCCTGTACTTTGTTATAACACACTAGTGGGGACTGTCCAGCACAGACTGGGATAGCATAATTTGTGTTTTTGGACCAACACACTAAAAATCAGGTGAAGTCACTCCAAATTTTGCTCCCACCTCCACCTCAGGAACTCTGGTACCACATCTGGCGGCGATATCACGAGCGGCAGTCAAACCTATGTACAAAAAACGAAGTCACACCACAGTCTTGGTTTAAGTGTGGCGTCTTGATCCAAAACAGCACCCAGCCAACAAAGACTGTCACCCCCAACCCCCTTGTGCCAAGTTTGGCAATGAAATCTCAAGAAGCGGCCAAACCTATGCCAAAAAAGTTGTGTTTCAGTCCACCCTCCTGGCACCCAACTATCATTGTACCCCCCCCCCACCTCTGGAACCCTTATGCCATGTTTGGTGACAAGATCTCAAGAGGTGGCCGAACCTATTCCGGAAAAAAAAACGAGCAAAATCACGGCAACGTGTTGTTTCGGTCTGCCATCTTGATTCAAAATGGCAGCTAGAATTCAAACACTGATGAAGACCACCTTTGGAAAACCACATGCCAAGGATCTCAAGAGGCACGTGAACACCTGTAGAGGAAAAACGGATAGACAATGTCAAACTATATTGTGATGGGTTGGTTCTCTAACCAGCTTCTTCCCACCAATTGGGAGTCTTTAAGCTGTTTCTAATTCCCTAATTTGTTGCTAGCCAAGGTGTGAACATCTTTGCATAAAGTAAAGGTACCTTTGCTCCCCCCCCCTATAACACCTGCTGGTTTGGAAGCCAACAGAATGACATTAACGAAGCCCTACGGATGTAAGCAGCTGGCAGTGGCGGACCTTGGGGTCTCAAATTCAGTGGAACCCTGTGACACCAGAATTGGGTGCCCCTCCCTCTCACCTTCCATTCAAAACCATGGTTGTGCGCCTCCAAGGCTCTGTGCCCAGGGCGACCAAACCAGTCACACTCCTCTAAATGCGCAGTTGGGGGTGGGAGGGAAAGAGCTCTAGAATGCAAGGGAAGAACAAACTTCACTGCTCACAAAGGCAGTAATGTGAACCTTAGCCATGTTCAGAGTACCTCTGCTTAGGGCATTAGTTAGTCATGGAAACAAACCCATATGTTATAGTTATTTTAAAATCTTATTTTATTTCCGTATATAGTAAAAAAAGAGGAAAGAAATCCTTCTCCTAGGGTAGCATTGCACAGTATAAAAATAAAATAGGGATGAGAAATTATCACTGTAATCATCACCGCAGTGTTTACTTAGGAGTAAGTTTCCTTTTGTCTGAGTGAGCCTTACGGTGTGATCATAGCCATGCCTACTCAGAAGTAGGTCCTGTTTAATTCAGCGGGGCATGCTCCCAAGCAAGTAAGATTAGGGTTGCATCCTTACTCCCTAGTATTAAGTGTACATTAGGCTGACAGCCCAAGAGATTTTTACTTTCCTTTTTCTGTCCCACTGATGGGACTCTGTTGATAAGCTTCGGAAGTAAATTGTGGCTGGAGCCAATCCCAGGAGCAAACTGTTCACAGGATGATAGCTTTCCACAGTTATTAATTCAGCTTAATAGCTTTAAACACACACACCTGGGGGAAATGTACTTTTCTTACCTTACCATGGTGAATTTAGTGTTTTGGTGACTGTGCGTGTTTTCTTCCATCAGTGGACTTGCTTGCAAGTAATTGAGGAGAGGTTTGCAGCTTTAGAAGCAAAGGCAGAGCCAGCTCCTGTAGCTCTACAAAAGAGCACTCCCAACCTGCAAAATTCCTGTCTCTACACATCCATCCTCCTTGTTGATTTCATAGTTTGTGTGCCAAAGAGAATTTCAGCCACTGCAAATTTTCTCATCTCTGCACCACTGCAATGTGACAAGATGTACTGCCAAAATTCACCTTCTGCACAACTGTCAAGGGTTCAGTAGCCCAGCCTCCCTTTTTAATCTGGTTATCTTGAGGAGAGGAGATGCAGGCATAGGCAAAAGAAGGGCTGTAAGGTTGCCAGATGTTCGGCAAAAATGACCTGACCTGCTATTGCGCCTTTAACAGCTGCAGAAATGAACAGGGAAAGCTGTGTGTATGTGTGTGTGTGTGTGTGTGTGTGTGTGTGTGTGCGCATAAATATATTCCGCCTGCTGACAGATGCAGATCAGATATCCATTAAGACACAGCTACAGGATCTGCTTAAGAAGCTGCCAGCCCTACAAGACTTTTAACTTTGATTTTTGGAATGCTGTAGGGTTGCAGCAGATGCTGAGCTTTGGGTTGGCAAGTCGTGGGAGGAAACTGTATTAGTAGAACCAACTTCCTTCCAAGGGAGGTGGTGCTGAGCCTTTGACACCCAGGGTGTCTGAATGCAGAATAACACAGGACTCCTGTGCCTTTTCTTTTTTTTTTAAAAAAAAAAGTTTATTATTTTACACTGATATACATTAAGCTCATATAATATACCATTTACATCAAAATCTATTTATTTATCCTGGCGACTTCCCATCCGTACATCTGTCGTGGTCTAATTCTCTCTCCTCCTGGCTGCCTGTCCAGCCTTATCTGTTTATCTAAATCCTATATTACAATCTTTTCTTGCTATTGCTCATAGGTTTGAAATTTCATTTGGCTGTATTGCGCTCTTATATAGACTGAGAAGGTTCTTGGTTCTTCCACATACTGTATACAGTGGACGCTCGAGTTGCAAACGTGATCCGTGTGGGAAGCAAATATCAAATATGACTGTATTTTGTCTTTCTAATTCCTTATTTTAGTTGTGGGTCCCGCCATTTCTAAGTACTCTCATAGCTTGAGTACCCATTCCTATTTCATTGGGATTTCTGGTGCTTTCCATTTTTGTGTGTAGAGTACTCTGGCTTACCAACTTTTGGGGGGATCTCTCCTCCACGTAGGGGCGTGGGTGGTGCTGTGGGTTAAACCACAGAGCCCAGGGCTTGCTGATCAGAAGGTCGGCGGTTCGAATCCCCGCGATGGGGTGAGCTCCCATTGCTCAGTCCCAGCTCCTGCCAACCTAGCAGTTTGAAAGCATGTCAAAGTGCAAGTAGATAAATAGGTACCACTCTGGCGGAAAGGTAAACAGTGTTTCCGTGCGCTGCTCTGGTTCACCAGAAAGCGGCTTAGTCATGCTGGCCACATGACCAGGAAGCTGTATGACGGCTCCCTCGACCAATAAAACGAGATGAGCGCCGCAACCCCAGAGTCGTCCATGACAGGACCTAATGGTCAGGGTCCTTTACCTTACCTCTTCCATGTATTCCCAGAAGAAATACTCCTGGCTTTTTGGGTATAACTATTTTGAACATCTTTTCCAGGTTCGTTATACATCATCTTGAAATAATTCTGTCACTTTTTTGCCATTCCACCAGGT